CAGTGCAATAATACCGTCTGTGAATACTAATAACTGTTTGATAAGAATAAGTGGCCGACACCGTGCACTGCCCTTTAAATAGTGAAATTTGTCATGGTAACCTTGGTAATACGGCGATTGTCAAAACTAAGGTGATTTTGTGGTGTCTCCGTCGACGGCTGGCCCTGAACACAATGGCGGGATATTGCGTTCCCGAGTTTGCAACCTTACGAAATAAATCACCACCGGATCATATGTAACTTCTATTTTTGTTGTTTATCGTGTTCCGTATTTACATCTCGTTTGCACTTCGTATTTATTTATCGTTTGTATTAATAGGGTACTTCTCGTAATAATGGAAAACTTTCCCCTTTAATAAAACGAAAATCAACAAGCAGCGAAGTAATCATCAAACATTCGGTGTCAGAATCACGACAACCATTTCATGAAACATACGTTGTGGATGTCGCTTAAAAAGTATATGGAAATATAATAAAAGAAAATGACTTACCTATATAGATTATGGTTATAGAGCAGGTGGATTTTTCTACGTAAAATTATATTTTCTAAAAGGAATCAGTATATAAGTACAGTACACGAGTAAGTCTTGCTCTATAATTAACATTTTAATATGCTTGTAGCGCTACTGTCAATGTTTTGGCTCAAAAATAATTAAAATCGTGCATGTAACTACGTCTTATACGCTCTATTAATTAGCTTTGTTGTTTCTTGGAAAGTAGATTATCATAATATTTTCCATTTTGTGATATCATTAAAGATTTAATTTTAATTCATCATATTGTTCAAGAGGTGGAAAAGGTAAACAAATCGTTTGAATGCTCATTCAAGATGTTTGTAAATAATTTAGGCTTACTTCATATTGCTGACGTTATGACAATGCGATTTTATTTTTTAAACAATATTACGGATATTTATAGTGAATATCACATTCGGAATTGACGCATTGTCTCATAGTTTGTAGATATTAGGTCTACTTGACCAATTAAGGATATATCTTTCTTATTTAAATCTTTTTTATAGGCATATATATACCTATTTGTGAAACATTTCAAGTGTTATTTTTTAAGTTATTACACACATAGTGAACAACCTACGCTGTCCCATGTTAGGCACAATCCAGCAGTTTTCTTTTCATTCAAATATAAATAATAGTTTCGAAACAATATCTCATTATGCCTACCAATATTATAAATGTGAAAGCGAGTTTGTTTATTAGCTCTTAATGCCCTAACCAACCAACCAGTCGCGGAATGTTTGGTATAATATTATGGATGGACAAGTAGGACATAGGCTATCCTTTACTCCGGTAAAATAGTATTTTGCGGTCATACGGACAAAATAGCGGCTAAAATTAGGTATTTTATAAATGACGTATTACGAAAATAAAATTCGTGCTTCAAACTTTTTGTGTAATAATATTGAAACGAGCCTTTGCACTGTACTGCGAATGCGTGCACTTGAGAAGTAGAAAAAGAGTAGAGTAGAGTAAAATTAATAAATACACCACTTGTAGATTACGTATCAAGATAAAATAAGCTTACACCAGTTTTTAAGTTAGACCTTCAGAAATGCAATTGTGACTGCTGCAACCGCATCTAATTTCCTGCAGTAGTCTTCGCGTGATGATGGAATAAACATACGCATAGACAGACAAAATTTCTAAAAATGATTGTGTGTAATATGATGAGTGTGTGATGTATTGTATTGCTCTTATTAATACAATTCAAATATATTTTTTTTAATTATCTCCCATATACATACATCGTCTAGTTGCAATTGTATTATATTAGTAAAATTTATAAATATTCTAAATTATAAAATAATTTGTTGTTATTAATACGGTATTAAATTCACCATTTGTACAAAATTTATTTCGCAATAAATAATAAATAAATAAATGATGAAGTTATAAAATAAATGTTTTCGAGAATTTGACTCGTTTCCACTCCGTATATCTATTTTTATGAAAGGCAATGAATACACGCATTGTACTGTAGTAAGACAGTACATTGTTTACACGGAATGTAAAGAGAATTATCTTAAGTTTCGCTATCCAAGCGTAACATAACAGTAGGCGCCCGCACCCACACTACTAGGTCACTCGACTTTTAATCACCATCACTTATAATCACTTCCCATAATAACCTTACGTGTTCGAAACATAACCGTTAGGTACTTAACTACTGGCTAATTGCGTCTACAGTGACAGTGAAGTGATATAAACGACGATTATCGACAGTGGTTGACAGTTAGCACTTCCGATAGCCGGTGAAATGAACGTTTTGGTGCAAAATGCTCAAATATCATCGGCGTTCTCATAGGCACAAGTCCCCGGTTCAGTGTTTAAGATGGAGGTTTGTATTTCTTTATTCAAACAACTGGAGTAATATTAGTACATTGATGTATAATATAAAGAATCCTAGATACACATTCAGTCTAAAACGCCACTGATTAGAGTGCGTTTAATCAAATTTTGCATTCATTTTTAGCTATGCAGTGACGTTTGTAGTAAAATTTGCCGAAGTATACTTACAAATTTTCTAAAATTACATCATATAGTTTTTTTTTGTAACAATCAATGAATGCCCTTATCCTGTGATAACTATTTATTTTTCGAGACAATTTTTGGTGTCCCTGAAAACAATAACATTTGTATGGGGTTGTGAATATGCGCTTTTGTGTATATCAATGTGCAAAGTCAAAAAATAAAAGCAGAAGAAGTTGATGTGTGTGCAAGTCAAATATGTCAAAAATACATTAATATAATATAGAGATATCTATCTAGGTAAACAATTTTTTTTTATTACAAGATGGGTTTGCGTTTGATTTAACCTTTTTCGATGGTAATGGTAAGTGACTATAGGATTTGGGACGGAGCGCGATTTATTGAAATTATCACCAAAATGAAATTAGTAAGAAAATGGAAGCAGATTTTTGTTTGTTCACATTTCATTAACTTCTATTGATACAGGCTATACTATATATAATTGTATGTCACTTTCCTTGCGGATTAAGTAGAGGGCCTACCATGAAATGTTTTCCAAAATTTCGGAGCCGAACGAAACATAAATTTGATGTTAAAACCACCACCGTGAAGCAGTTGTGTTTGCATGACTGTGTTTCGGTTTGAAGGGTGGGATATGGCGTGAATTTACTGGGTACAGAGGAATAACACCTGAATCCTCAGGAATGGCAACGCATGGGGGGTATCATGGGCGACTCTGTTATGTCCATGGTACTGCTCATGTCTATAAGCGACAATTACCACTGTCAATCAGGTGGGCCGTCAGCTTGTTTGCCATTCTAAGTTGTATAAAAAAATAATACATACTGTAGAAAAATATTAAAATATCGTTCCTTTGGACTTTTATGGTAGCATTTATAACGAAAGAAATGTTGAACTCCATTTACTGAGCCGATTTCGGTATGAACGAGAGCATGAAATTCAGTCTAAAAATTTTGTATTTCATTCCATGGTTGACCCCTAGAGTATTTGAGATCTCTATATTTACAAAATTTATGCGACACTGTATAGACTTAACTTTGAAAAAAGTAAAAACGTTAATTTGTGTTACTAGACCGTCATTTGCATTTATATTAATGCTTCAGAGTGCCTTATGTTGTTTATTACACGTTAGGTGGCTTATGTATTACATGTAAGGTGCCTTATGTACACCCTTCTCATAGAAGTACATGACTTATAAGGACTTATAACACTTGCCGCTTAAAACACAACCCCTGTTCCATAAATGTATCATGTTATTTAAGTTGAATTTATTTAAATAATCTTTTTACAAAAGAACAAATAACATAATTTCTACTATAACAATATCCAAATTTAATTAAACTAATAGCCTTTCTATTTGTCGTAATTGTCAACTCTATTGAAAAACTTTAAAACAGTTTTAAAACTCCAAAGAGAAATATGAGTTGATCACTAATATTACAGTATAATGTAAGTCAAATAACTTGGAAATTAAATGTTGCAAATTATATTATTTTATGTATTTGTTTACATAGTCTCATATAAGTATTTCAATGTAATTGAATTTTATTTTTTTTATTAAATAATTTTTCATGTCCATTTATCGGAATTACATAGCAGTATATAATTAATGCAATTTTTTTTATTTGTTAATTTTATACTCTATTGCTTCGTTACAAATATATACAAAGGTTGTTTATTAAATATGCCAAGTGTAAAAGGATAATAAATTATCATCACCCTCTACATGACTCAGCATTAAAATTCGCATTCAAAATATTGAGATCGGCTGAATTTATTCAAAAAATGGTTTTAAGTCATCTGTCGATGCCATATGGCAATGGAGGAATCATGAGTACAAAATGAATCGACACATTTGGCAGAATAGCTAAGTTTTGTGCTTCAGCAGCTGAATGCATGTTTTCGTGTATTTAGAGATTTATTTGTTTATTCAGTTATTATTATTTTTTTCGAACAAGGAGAAACACATACTCTTTAAATAAATAAATTCTCAATGTGGAAAGCATCTCGGATAAAATACGAAACAAATTGCATCAATGCAGATACTAGAGGTCTAAAATGGTCTATAATTATGTGACTTCTTTTAGGAGCATGCACTTCTATGAAGAAGGAGTCCAGGGCCTTCATTATATAAGCACGAATTACAAAAATGTATTAAGTTAACTATAACACTTAGTTTTTTTTAATGGATGAGAATAGAATGGTAACCCTACCTGCGCTAACTGTATACGTTGGCAGAGCACCAGTGATGGATGATAGGTGAGATGTTAAGACAGCCCATCGTGATGAATACACTTGGAAGTCAGCACGATGGTTTCCAGGGGGCACCACCTGGAGATCGATCTGATAGGGTACATTGCTAGCAATGAGACAGGTAGTCCGCATTACCAACAATCCCTTCCCTACTATTATAGCACTTCGTTTACTCTGACTACATTTAAGGTATTTAAAAAAATGATATAAAGATTTTCTGATGACAAAAATGTTGTTTCAGATCATCGGGCGACTCAGACGCGGCGAGCACCGCCGCTGTGGAGACGACACTGGAAAGACTGAGGGGTACGAGGGGTGCTCTCGAGGAACTCTGGTCGGACCGCGAGAGGCGACTTGAGCTCACCCTCCAGCTGCGTCATTTTGAAAGAGACGCTCTCGAGGTACGTAAGGGACACTTAAATAAAAGACCTTATACTCTGTCGTTATACTATAGAATGACTCCGTGATGTATTGCCTTCATCGTTTAACTTTAAAATATAGAGTATTCTACTATTTAGCCGTTATCGTACGGAGAGACCTAGACAAGTGGCAAGCGAATTTATCGATGGATTCAACATCGTTAGCGAGTCCGCGGAATAGAATGAGATAGCAACGTCGGATGTCTCAATCCAACTCATGGACTCGTTAGCGATGTCGATTCCTTCGACGAGTTTGCTTGTCATTCGTCTAGAAGACCAGGTGTATTTTCATCACAACGGGATGACTGACCTGCCCTTTTATCTTCACTTATTGATACATCGCCATTGTACACCGATAACGCAAGTGGGCTTGCTATTCCATCATCACCCATTAAAAAAGTACTGTTGAGAGAGGGGGGAGATTGTTAGTAATAGTTTCTAACAGCCCCATTGCTAGGAATATACCTATCAAGTGGAGGTCACTTCACTCAGTTCCTCCTGGAAACTATTGCGAATAATTTTTGTGGGATTCGTTACGATGGGCTAACTGACCTGTTTTCATCCTCCGCTATCATCTCTAACTAGTGCTCTATCGGCGAATATCGATATACACTATCGAGGTAAACATTCCATTCTGCTAACCCTTTAAAAAGACGTTGAAGGAAGAGTATTTTTTACTCTTTTCAGTTAATTCATTTTTTGAGTTAAATTTGTTCCAGTGTTCGCTAAGAATGGAGTGGCCAATATGTCTTGCTATTTAAAATAAATAAACAAATGTTTTTTTTTTCTCAAATTTTAGTATTTTATGTTAAGGGTAGCGAAATAAATATTGTTAATTTTATATCTTGGTAAGTATTTTATTGATATATATTATATGTGAAGGTTTATAATTTCTTTATTTATAAATTAATGTTATTTTATTATTTATGTATTTATATTATTTCTATATGTAGGTGTATACAGTTATTTTTTATTGTATTATATGTTTAATTTTTACTAGGTATTGTTGAGTTTTATCTTTAGCTGTACAGTTCATTCTATAGTTTTACATAAAGAACATTCTATAGTTTAATTTCTGCTTCTCAGAGTTCCACTGTAAGAGATCCCTTTACGAGATAAGTCTGACGTTGTATATTAAATCTTTTTCTTTTTTATGTGTTCAATGTAATTTATGCATTATAAAGATTTTACAAAAACCACAAATGTAGAGTGATTCCAGTGTTTTTTTTCTGGAGATGTTGGTTTTTATCCTTGAACATTCTATTTCTCTTTCAGCTTCTCAAAGATTGACTGAAAGTGACTCCTCTATGGGATAAGTTCACCTTTATATATTCAATCTTTTTAATGTACCCAATGTAAATTAAGTACAATAAAGTTTTAAAATACAATTCTTCGTCTACAAGCTTTAATTATGAACAACATGGACTGTATATTAGTAATAGCCTATATGTTATATTATATTTGATAATATAATTAATGTATTAAAGTTGACGTTAATTATTTTATGTCAAAAATAAATTATAACAGTTTTGTAAATATTAGTGACAAAAGTAGTAATAAAAGTAAATATGAATTTTCAGGTATCCTCCCGTCTGGAGTTGTGGGGCGACGAGTTGCAGCGAACAGAACCGCCTCGAGACCCTCAACAGGCGGAGCAGGCGCTTGCGGCTCACAATGAGAGCGTGGCCAGGATGCAACATGCCACTTATCAGGTGATCAGAATAGTAATTGCTCTATCGCGATTAGCTCCTTTCGACAAGAATCTTAAAAATCTATCAACAGATAAGTGTAACAGATAAGCAAGCTCTCGCCATTTACAACGAGAGCGTGGCCAGGATGCATCATGCCACTTATTATATTATCATATATAACTTCCAAATATGACCTGCTGAGATTCTCCCTAGACAATACAGCATAGATTTCTTTAAAAAGGGCGTAATAAGGTTTCGTATGTGACGCCAAACCGCGCGTGATATCCCTTCGTTCGTTTGATGGTAAATGGGGTTTACCATCAGACGGGGCGTATGCTTGTGTGCCACTATTTTATTATAAAAAACAACGACAAGTAACATACTAAACTATCGGTAGATAGGATTCCGCTGTGACACGCAACAGGCAGAGCAAGCGCTTGCGGTCCCCCAACAAGATCGTGGCCATGATGTAGCAAATTTTTTTTTATTTATCCAAATTTAAAAAAAATATATATTTAACCAATTTTAAATCTTGAGATGTATTTTATTTCAAAAAATTGTGTGTAACCGCAACGAGGGGGGGGGGGGGTGGTCGGGATTGGTATAAATCTCTTTGTGATACTGTTTTATAAAAGAGAACAGAATTATTTCATGTGCCATCATCATCGTCATCATCATTGTATCTGCTGTTGTCTGTTCTCACAGACGGTCCACCTGCATCCACTGACTCCCTGCAATGCATTTGAGGTCGTCATTTCTTTTAGTGGGAGGGTTGTCCTACACTGCGTTTACCTTTACGGGAAGAACTTTCTTCCCTATCGATTATTGGTTTTTCGAGCTATTGCCACTTCAGCTTGCTTATCCATCGGGATATTCCTAGAATTATCATCTATTGGTCGATATTATCAGCGAATGTATTTTTTTTAAGTATACAATAAATACATAGAAGATCTAATGAGTTCGTCACGCAGGTGGTGAAACAAGGGCAGGAGTTAGCAGCGGCGATCGCCGAGGCGTCCGATGTGATGGCTTCTAGTGGATCCGACGGGTCTGAAGCGGCGCCGCTGGACGCGCAAGCCAGGGTCCAGCTCCTGCTCGAGTTTCTACACGACAGACAACTAGATCTCGAGGAGTTAGCTGAAGAGAGGCGCGCTCGGTTCGAGCAGTGCGTACAGCTAGGTTTGTATTAATTCTCTCACTAGCTCGCTGAAACAGCATGCAAAGATTTTTAATTATTGTTGTATGTAGCCAGGGTTTGATGAGTGCAACTAAAGCCATTTCTTTTATTAATTATGATGGCCAGTAGGTGCGTTTCTGTTTGCATTATAAATGTGAAAATTTGTAAAGATATTTACAGAAAATACTTGTTGTGTATATTGTGAAATAATTTCAATGATTGGATAATATTGTGAGAAATTCATTAAATATTTCTAAAGTAACGAAGAAAGGTTGTCCACATCTCTCCTATTTGTTGTGTCCAATAGGGTCCATACTTGAAGTTGTTTTGATATCTACCAACCACATTATGGAATGTAATAAGAAGTAAATAAATATTTGGGTATTTGTTACTCAATCATGCTAAACGGAATTGAGTGAGATTTTGTACACGAATAAGTTATATAATTCAACACCAGTTTTACAATTTAGTAGCAAATAAATACTATTTATTATTTTACACAACGCCATCTAGTTTCAAATTATGCAATTTGTTTTATGAATATTGGACAATTGTTATTGTAACGCATCTGTATGCGTTGTAATGCATCTGTATTCATCTGTTAATTAATAGTCATTTTAAATCTATCAGGATAAATTTATATTGCTATTAATTAGATTCTAGTATTTTATAAATAGTTTATATGTGATAACAGTAAAAATATAACGTGCCACTTTACCTCATCTGTAGGTGTCGTAAGAGGTAACTAATAGAATATAGCACAATAGACCAATGTAAATGAAGGAAAATTTGAAACAAAACAATATATCAAGTATATACCAAGTTCAGTAGGAAATCCTCCTGTTATGGTGAGACCCGTATCTTGTAGTGGGATGATAATGGTTAATAATATGTTTCGTTAAATAAGTTTACGAATGCAAACTATGTTACTATTCGAAACTATATACCAATTATATATATTTAGCGTTATTCTAAATTATAAGTGACATTACTCCATACAGGTCAATTCCAAAAAGACGCAGCTCAAGTGGTGAGCTGGATACGTAACGGCGAAGCGATGTTGGCCGCTTCGTTCTCGATCCCCGGCACGCTGGCGGAGGCGGAACAGCTGAAGAGAGAACACGACCAGTTCCAAGTGGCGGTGGAGAAGACGCACGCCAGCGCTGTACAGGTCAAGTACAGGGCGGATGCGTTGAGGGCCGCCAACCACTACGACCCACATACGATCAGGTACATATTGGGGTCAATTTTGAGACACAAATTTTCTAAATCTATCCCTGAAATTGAAAGTTTAATTTGAAATTACAGCGAAATTTTTAGTACAGACCAATATGAACTTATTTTCTAATAAATTAAATATTATAAAATCAGAGTATTTGATCTTTTTTTTAATTTTAACCTTATTTCATCTACTGCAAGGTACATTATCCGCGAAATGACGTGGGCTTTAAAAAATAGCGTCCAAATTCGGAACGACTGCTTGTTAACTATAATATATTGGAAAATATTTAAAATATTGAAAACAACGTGTTAAAAAATAGTTTATACTTTTTTTTAAAAAAATCTGACTTTTAAGTTTTTAAACAAGAATATATTTCATAATTACTTGGCCTACATCTAAACTATTAATGTTTAATGTACAGAGAAATATCTGAGGAAGTGACTGAACGCTGGCAACGGCTAGTGACATGTGCGGAGGAGCGTCACAAGCTAGTGACGGCGTCCCTCAACTTCTACAAGACAGCGGAGCAAGTATGCTCCGTGTTGGACTCTCTGGAGCGAGAGTACCGCAGAGACGAGGACTGGTGTGGCTCAGCCGCTGCGCCAGCGACTGATGAACCGTCGCAGGCTCAGAGTGTCGCGGACAAAGCTGCACAGGTCAGTTGCAATATCGATTGTATCCCGCCATTTTACCCCAGTGACATTGTCATAAATTATTTATTAATTCACTTACTTCGCACTGTGTTAATTTGGAATGTGGTTTATGTGTGATGAAAAAATTTAAATCCGTTCAGCAGTTTATATGTAACTGAGTTTCAAATACATAAACATCTTAACGTTTACATTTATAATATAAGTAGGATTCTAGAAGAAGAGTAATAAATAATCTGTTTTTTTTTCATATTTAATAAAAAAGTATGATATCTTTTTACAATACAACAGTTTGTTAGCTTTGTTGGTTACATCGAGAAATAGCTGTGAAATTACTGGGTACTGTGACTTCTTATTGAAAGTGTTAGCAACATACAAGAAACATTGTAGGCGTTAAATAGTCACAGTTTATAGCAAACAGTATACTGTTTGCTGGTGTTATGTTTATTTATATAATTTATTTTATAATAAAAAAATATATTTCAATCTTTTTATAGTATTAATTAAATTTTTATAACGTAATCGTATAGAATCATATCTATATTGTTCAAAAATCAATTACCAGGTGGCGGCGTTAATAGTCAAACACGGGGAACAGAAAGAGGCGTTTTTGAAAGCGTGCACCCTCGCCCGTCGTACAGCGGAGACGTTCCTGAAATACGCGGCTAGGTCGGCTCAGGTCCACGGCCAGACAGCCGCAGCCAGCAAGGCGCATCACGAACAGACACGCGCTATATTGGACACGTTACTCGCCCAAGAGAATAAGGTAAGCTGTTTTTTTTTTTTTGGCATGAAAATGGAATAGTAGCCTCGTCTCTACTGTGTATACGCTGGCGGGATACCAATGAGTAATAAATTGATATAGTTTGATTCATTAGATCATCCTAGGTGAGACCACGTGAATATCGTTGCAATGGGTATATTCATCTGTTATTAATAACATCAGTTGAATTTCATCAGTATTCACAAATTAAGAATTTGGCTTGAAAGAGAGGGGTGGAAATACTGTAGTAAGTAAATAAAATAGGTTTATTAAATAATTACAAAAAAATTTAAGTTTATATGGCATAGACTTATTATACTAGTAGCTAGTTCATTTTCATTTATTTCCCAGGTTTATTTTCGGCCCAAACTTGTTTTGAAAAATGTTATCAAGTAGAAAGATTTTGAGATTGATTATGACTAGAATGGTACTGGAATGTTAAAGGTAATATGAATGAATAAATAAATAAAATAAAATAGTACGTCTGTTCGTACTATACATATCTCAGGTAGTTCGATACATATGTCTTCATATTATCTATATTCACACGTGATAATATTTTATTTCACTGAGATTTGGCAGAGAACGAACTGTTACTGAGATTATAGTAACATTTCTTCCATTCATCTTTATATTTTGTCAGTATAATTTTACATGAAGTACTGGGTGAAGAATAAGTTCATCTACTTTTGTGAAAACAATATATTTAAAATGAAATAGACAAATGCACTTTTGCATTAAAATTACATAATGAAGGAAATATTACATAACATGCATATACCGTACGTAACTGTAATAATTGTAGGGACAATTACAAGCACGATTGCAGGGCAGGTTGCATTGCATGTAACTACAACTAGATAGTAAATAGCAAATAACCTTGCCTACATGTAATTGTGGCATTATAACGTACAACAAGAATTGATATAAATAATAAACTGCATATGCAAAACAAGGTTAATTAATTATATATTTTTATGTCAACACGATTCGTGATATGAATGTGGCTAAAGCAAGAGAAGTTTATAGGATTAGATTTTGAAATTTTCTTTTGCTTGAGATATCATAACAATGTAAAACGAATATTTCTTTTTATACGTCTTAGAATGGCAAACAAGCTGACGGCCCACCTGATGGAAAGTGGCAACCGTCACCTATAGACACGAGCAGTACCATGGATATAACAGAGTATACTGTTTCGCCCATGATACCCCGCATGTGTTGCCATTCCTGAGGACTTTAGTGTTATTCCTCTGTACCCTGTAAATTCACGCCATATCCCACCCTTCAAACCGAAACACAGCCATACAAACACAACTGTTTCACGGTAGAAACACGACAGAGGTACCCAAGCAATCGACTTTTGTACAGTCTCCCTCTGGCTTCTGGCTATTTCATAATTGTTAAACATTACCCAATAATTCAAAACCAAAAACTTATTAATAATTATAATCATGACCTAATCATGACCTATATTGTGCTTTATTGCATCCTGATATTGCATTTTTTTTTTTATATTTCTTCGATAATCATGTATAAAATGTACACGTAATGTGTCGTGTGTAACCTTTTGATCGCTATATATATTTAGAGTTATTATTTGATGACATAATTAGACATTACAAATGCTTATCTAACGTTAAATCAGAGCATTTGTAATTGTGTGAATTTGTGAATACAAAAGGGGTTTATTTTTAAACATCATTGTTATGTGTAGGGCGGATATTAGCTCATGAATTGAACGTATATCAGATAACATCTTGTGTACACAACGATGATCTTTCTAGGCAACAACAAAACAACAAACAAACATTGCTCAACTATTCAATAGGTGTTTGTTTGTTTTGGCCTTAAAATAATGTCGAGTATGTGTTACGGAATGTGAGTTGTGCTCGGTTATTATTTACCCATTGTCAGTGTCAGTGTCAGAGAGGGCCGTGCGGCCGTCAGGAACAATAAGGCTTTTGTTACGGGCTCCGATGGTATCTGCGCGGTAGCATGGGTCTGCATGTCATTTGGCGGCTCGGCACATCATGCCTCTTGCGTATCTGCGCGCTCGCCGTGACAATGCTCAAGAGCTTTGTCATGGTTCTTGTACAGCCGGTGGATACTATTTTTTTTTTTTTATTTATTGTATAAGAGAAAATAATGGTTTTATGAGGTCTTAATGTCTGTATAGCAAGTTTGACGAGACTTCAAAATAATAGTGATACGTATTCTGTGTGAAAATAAAATAGTGAGATAGAGAGTGGATATCTGGTTCTAAAACAAATATATTAATATTTTTTGTTATGTAGTAACAGTAACAAATAAATTTACAAAAATAAAAAAAAATACCATTTACGACAAATATGCAAAATAAGATATTTCGAATATTTTGAGGATATTAAATTATTTTAATTTAAAGTTAAATTAAAAAAGAAATTATAATTATTACACTTGATTGCCTATGATCACCTCTCTCTTAATTTACTCACAGTAATTTAGCTTTATTAATGTTTTTAATTGATTTTAAAAGGTACTGGAACACTGGACCGTCCGTAAGAAGCGGCTTGAGCAGTGCCAACAGTTTGCACTTTTCGAACGATCTGCCCGCGCCGCCGTGGAATGGATTAGAGAGACTCAGGAGCGATGTGGGGCAGCCGCTGCTGCGGCGGCGGCAGGGGTGGCGCGGGAGAGCCGGGAACGAGTGCGATTGCTAGCACAGCTAGCTGATGGTCTTGTGGAGAAGGGGCATCCACACGCAGTTCAGATCAAGGAGTGGGTAGCTGCTGTGGATGCTAGGTGAGTGGAAAATGAATTAATTTTATTCGATTTTACAATAAGTTACTATTAACTGCAGTTATCTTATGCTAACTTGGTTCTCAGCCTGTACTTAATCTCTTTACTTAAAAACTGGTTTTAAGATAGACAGAGGAGACAAGACACTTACAGTAGGAAGTAATATAGCTTTATCTGTCAAGTGTCTCTTGAGGATAGTTTGTGATATTAATCATAAGATTTTTTTTTATTATTCAATTAATTCAAAATTATTAATTTTACAGATAAGACCTTTTGATATTTCTATTATTATTATTATTAGTATTTTTTTTTATATGGGTGAAAATGGAATGGTAACCCCGCCTGCGCTATCGGTATACGCTGGTGGGGCACCAGTGAGAAGTGATATCTGAGGATGAAAGCAGGTCGGTTAGCCCATCGTAAAGAATTCCACGAGAATTAACCACGATGGTTTCCAGGGGGAACCGCGTGGAGGTCGACCTGATAGGGTATATTGATAGCAATGGGGACTAAACTCCTCATTACTAACAATCCCTTCCCCCCTGTTACTGGTATTCCAACTATTGTTTAGATCATATTAAATGTAGTTTTCACGAGGAAACATTTTAATATGTTTCATTGCTTTTATTAATGTTGAAGTGAAATATAGAATGTTTATGAACCAAGGGGCAGACTTTAAAATTATTATTTAAATACACTTTTTAATTTAATATATTCGTACCGCAGATATGCAGAGTTTAGCGGTTCAATGGAAGGTGGTGAGAGTGAAGCCGAAAGTGATTCAAGTGTAGCTCCGTCACTGGCGTCATCGCAGTCTGCCGAAGCGGACACGCGGGCGGAACCACAACAGACGGCGGCCGGCGATGACAAACGACGCAGCGCCAGACGCAAAGAGTATGTTACTTTATCCATCTATAACACGTCATACTAGCCATCACGTGATATGTTCTGCTGCTGTCGAATTTGCGACAATCATTAACAGAAACCAATGAAAATATCTCCAAACAATCTTTGTCACAATCCACATGTTCTGTATTTATTAATAATGCGTTAAATCGGAAACAGATACATTTTAAGTTTGAAAATCAGAAAGTTTTGTTTTTTATTTCATATTCAAATTAAGTATGGCAACACTGTTAATCTGTTATGAAAATGGACGATGGTTAACGATCGTGTAATGGGCATTTTAATTTGAAATTTATCTCTATAAAGTGTAGATGTAGATGTCCTGAGTCCTCAGGAATGGCAACGCATAGGGGGTATCATGGGCGAAACAGTATACTCTGTTATTTCCATGGTACTGGTCATGTCTATAGGCGACGGTTACCACTTTCCATCAGGTGGGTCGTCAGCTTGTTTGCCATTCTAAGTTGTATAAAAAAAAAAAGATGTAGATTAAGGGGTAATTTTATCAGGCTCATTGAAAATTATATAATTTTTTGTGACTATTACATTCCAGTAATCATTTGTTGATAAGTGATTGTGATTTCTACAGGTTCATCATGGCGGAGCTGCTTCAAACAGAGCGAGCGTACGTCAAGGATTTGGAGACGTGTATTACGTGTTACTTGCGCGAGATGCGCACAGACCCTGGCTCTGTGCCTCCAGCTCTGCAGGGCAAGGTAACTAACTATATTTACTCATTAGCTCTCTAGTTATAAAAAATTCAGACGTTGAAGTAGTTGAATTGCTAAAGTTTGTGAAATTACAATGGAAAATTTGTCTCGATACTTTTAAATATGTAGGCTGTTATAAAAGGTGGATACGTGGCTAGAATTTTAAAGCATTTAATTCAGCGTTAGATTTGTTTGCTTATGAAATATTTATATAGTCTTTCGATTCTGAACCCTCAGCTCTGCTTTCTGAAATTCTAAGATTCTTACTCTTGATAATATCCTTTAAATAAGGCATTGTCCTAGACAACAAAATTTCGTTTTACCATTATTTTGCAATTTTTGCTAGTTTTACCAATTTGACAAACTTGATAAGACATTTAATTGAAAATCAGAATTATTATCTATACCTAGACGTGAACAGCTACATGAAGGAGTAGCTGTTTTTCTAATGATGGCAATGTAGCAACTGACACTAGAGGGCGTCATCCGAACCTAGGAATAATAGCTGTAATTGCTGATTTGGTCTATCTGATCACAAATTAATAAATTAATGTAAAAAAAGTCTGATTAGTGGGATTCTTTTTTAAGCATTGAATATTTTTTTTTTGATGGATGAAAATGATATGGTAACCCCGCCTGCGCTAACGGGATACGCTGGCGGAGCACCAGTGAAGGGTGATAGATGAGAATGAAAACAGGTCAGTTAGCCCATCATGAAGAATTCATCAGGAATTAACCATGATAGTTTCCAGGGGGAACCGCGAGGAGGTCAACCTGGTTGGGTATATTGCTATGGAATTCTCAGTCTCCATTACTAATAATCCCTTTCCCCCCGCATTGAATATATTACATGTAATGTGTTGTTCGGTTACCAGGAGGACATAATTTTCGGGAACATCGAAGAGATTCACCGCTTCCACGAACGCGTGTTCTTACGTGAATTAGACAAGTACGAAACAATGCCCGAGGACGTCGGACATTGCTTCGTAACGTGGGCGCGAGAGTTCGACATGTACGTCTCGTATTGCCGGAACAAACCAGACAGCAACGCGGCGGTCGTGCAAAACGCTGGCGACTATTTCGAAAGGTAAGCACTAGTCTAGTTAAAGGTAGTTGAAGTCGCCATCTATGGGGAGTTCATTTTTAAACTCTAGAGCCTAGATTGTTGTTTACAACGCGGTTTCAGAGATGTTTTCCCCCACGAACGCTCAGGTTATGGAATGAGCTCCCCGTCGAGGTTTTTCCAAGAGACTAAAGCATGGGGTTCTTCGAAAGGGAGTTAAAGTAGTTTCTTTAGGGTCGGAAACATGCGCGTAATACTCTTGGTATTGCAGGCGTTCATAGGTTACGGTAACCGCTTACCATCAGGTGGGCCGTAAGCTTGTTTGCTACCTCAGTGGTATAAAAAAGGTAATACTTATAATACTACACATACATACACGGTAATACATACAGTCTTATTCTGGCAAATTTTTGACATCCCTTTATTATTGATGGCGTTCAAAAAAGTCATCGAAGGTTTCAAATATCAATTCTACGAATTTTGTAATGCGTTTTATTGATGAAGTATCTATTTAGATCTCGGCTTTTTTGGGGCGCTGCGCTGCCATACTCTTTACCCTTCCCTACACCCCGTTACTGCCCACGACTAAAGTCCTAATAGGCGAATACGTATAATATTTGTCGACTAGTTATCGTGGTGAGCGTAACACTCCATATCGTACTCATTACTATTCACCATATAGAACGGTTAATTACCGTGCTAGAGGGCGCAAGCTTCTTACTCGAATTAATTTAGGGTTTTATCACTGCTTTCCATCAATGGAGAGCTATATTGTCGGAAATCGTAGTTATAAATGTAATATTAAAGATACTTATACGATAATCATATAGATATTATGAAGGTAGGTTGAAATGAGTTTACATAGTTTTTTCCTTGTAATCTAAATTAATTTGATCCCTTTTTTTTAATAATTACAGCTTTATAGTTCACACAGCATTTTTATCATAAATAGTCATTTTAGAAAATAATATAGGTACTATAAATTTTTACAGTGGATATGCTTGTAACTTTTTAATGACTTTATGTTATTACGCCCTCTTGTGGATAACAGCAGATTTATTGCGTAGTACCTTGTGCAAGAATGTGTACTTGCTTATAATTATGAGTCGCTTCTTTTAAAAATAGCACTAAATGAAGAGGCGAAGTTTTACTAGATGGAGTTCAAATGTAAACATATTTATTTATTATTCATAGAAAGTTTGTACAAATGGCAAGATAAGATTATGGATATTTATTCCTTTTCCAGTTTAAATTACGCATTCTTTGCTAGTTATAACTCGATATTGATATTTATTTTTAAATAAATAATATTATTTCAAGTGTTTATTTTATAAAGAAAATGGTCGCGATGGGAGTAGAATTTTATTTTTCAAATAATATCTTTAATTATTCAGAACTTTCGAAGTTCTGAAATTTTATTTCTTTTGTCATCTTATTCTTTTTTTTCTTCTTGGCAGCGCAATTGTAATGTTATTAAAACTGTTCGAAGATATGGATTTTTAATAGAATTTTGATAGTCGTTTGAGTTAGTTAGATTGGACTATTCTATTTAGAATTTTGTTACATAATATATAGTTTTAAATCGATCGGTCGATGCCTAAATTTGTTTTAATTTTGGGTGCAAAAATTTGTTTAATATTTTTTTTTTTTTGTTAATTATTAATGACGAAAAACAATATTCTATAAAAATTTTAAAAAAGGTAGAGTTCCATAAAAGAACTGAATTTGAATATAACTTTTAAAATTAGTGGTTTTTTTAATTAGTTCGTATTTTTTGTGTGTATGAAAGAATTTTATGTAATATATTGATTTATTTTGAATTGAATTGAATATTCTCATGTAATTTTTATAATAATATTCTCACTATTATGTAAAGACATGATTGAAGTCGCTGTTTTTTCTTTTTTTTTTTGTAGAGAATGATTGTAAATGATTAAAATTATTTAATACAGAGTACAACGTAAAAAGAAATTGGAGCATCCATTAGCGGCTTACTTAATCAAGCCTGTACAGCGCATCACCAAATATCAACTGCTGCTAAAGGATCTTCAAGCGTGCTGTGCGGAGGGCCAAGGAGAGATCAAGGTCAGTGCATTAGATTTGCCATCGCCCTTAGTGGCGGCTGTGAGACTCTTTTTTAATAATATTACTCTTCGAGGGATTTATTATTATTAATTTCCTTTTACTGGGACCAGGATATGTTGATTGATAGGGTTGAAAAGGTAGCCTGTGTCCTTTCCCATCCTACATACTACGTGTATATCAAATTTCATGATAATAGCTCGAGGCATTATGGTACCAAGAGGTTTTTTTTTTTATACAACTTAGAATGGCAAACAAGCAGATGGCCCACCTGATGGAAAGTGGTAACCGTCGCCTATAGACATGAGCAGTACCATGGACATAACAGAGTATACTGTGTCGCCCATGCGTTGTTATTCCATATAAAAGAAAATAAACCACTTTCATATTAATAATATATATATATATATATATATATATATATATATATATATATATATATATATATATATATATATATATATATATATCATTTTCATCTTATCAGCCGTTAACTGGCTATTGCTGAACATAGGCCTCCTTTTATTGGGAGATTTTGCCAGTAGTTGCAATGCTTGGCAGGTGGGTTGCCAACCGCCGTTAGGTTCTGGTGATGTTTAAAGAGGCATGTTGCTGGCCATTACTTATATATATATATATATTTGAATAATTTTACACATCATTAGCCCGCAGATATTGCAATGCTAGCAGTGTAGGTTTATTTTCTTTGTTAGGGGGTAAAAATCGGATCTCAAAATTTCAAACTTGACCTATTCCAAGTGGCGCATCATCTGAAAGGGCTTAATTTGTATATTTTAAAACTGACTTTTATTTATTTTTACGCTTTGTAGTTTTTTAGTTATAAATGAAAATGTGACAAAAAAGCCACCCCATCTTATCTCTTAAGTTTCTGAAACGAAAAATCTCAAATAATTACAGTTTATAAATTTTCTAACATCGTTTTTGAGAAATTATCCAAAAAGTCTCCAGAAACAAACCAGTGTTTGTTATAACCACAGTTTTTGCCCAAAATAAGTAATTACGTATTGTAGTATCAATAACAATAACAATTATTAGATGTCTATTTTTTATGAAGAATGTAATAAAGTTCTTTTATGTCATATAAATTTATGTACGTAATCCTGGGCGTGTGAGTTTAACTCGAACCTGACGGGTTTTTAAAGGGGCTTAAAGTAAATTATTAAAATAAAGAAATAATTTATAAAATTTGATATATATTTGTCTATTTATTACGACACGAGAAAACAGCTGAAAGGATTTGAAAGAAATTTATTGAAGAGTTATTATCCCAAATGAAATACTGGTGTTTGTTTTATCAAAATGGGTAGTAAAGTCTTTAAAGGCAGTCAATATTTGACTCTGGTTAGCCTCGCCTCAGTTTATTATATTAATATATGGCAGGATGAATTGAAATCAGCAGGCTCACAGTATATATGTACTTGTCTAATGACACCGGCGACGTGATACGCGTACATATTCATTTTTCAATCGCGATCTGATGATCATTCAGTGTTGCTTTTTTTGGATCGCTTTATGTTAATTGCGCTGCTGGTTTCTTATTTAGCTCTTGCCAGTTTATTATGTGTTCGTTCGGAGATCACAACTTTTTGTAATAATATATAAAATGTAAGAGTAAAAAAGAAGTCTTAATAGTAAAAATTTTTAAATTTCTTATGTGATTTTTTTAAAAGTTTTTATTTTATTAATTCTAAAGTGTATGATTAGATATTTTCTTGTAAAACCTCGGAAGGTGTTTGTCTTTACGTTCACATTTTGCTCGGATACGTTTATTATATAGTTATTTACGGTGAAATGGATTTAGGGATTCATTTTAATTCGGAATACTTCAGGGTGAGTATCATAATCATCAGCATATCAGCCTTTAACCGTCCACTGCTGAACCTAAGACTCTCCTTGAGACGTTTTGCCAGTAGTTGCCACGTTTGGCAGGCGGATTGGCAACCGCAGTTAGGCTTTAGAGATGTTTTAAGAGGGACGCTGCTGCCTCTTTTTCGCCCTCCTTTAATCGCTTCTTAAGACACTAATGGGAAAAGAAGGGGTGGCCTGTTTTATACCGGGACCACACGGCCAGGTTGAATATAGTATGTGGTATATAACTTTTTGCTACCGCCATCTCTCGGATTATTTAGTTTACTTAACAATTTTTATTATTTATGGTGAAATTTTAAACTGATCAAATGAGTTTTACCTACTAGAGATATACTTACTTATAATTTTTTTTACGGGATAGCCAAAGACTAGTCGTAACGGTAGGTATACGGAGCGCTTAGGTTATTACAATAACTACATAAAAGTAAAATAATTCACTGTATATCACTACATAGTATAAAACAAAGTCGCTGTCGCTGTCTGTTCGTCCCTATGTATGCTTAAATCATTAAAACTGGGGGAAAGGGATTGTTAGTAATGGAGACTGAGAATCCTATTGCTAGCAATATAGCCAACCATGTCGACCTCCTCGCTGTTCTCCCTGGAAACTATCATGGTTAATTCCTGATGAATTTATCATGATGGGCTAACTGGCCTGTTTTCATTCTTATCTATCACCCTTCACTGGTGCTCCGCCAGCGTATCCCGATAGCGCAGGCGGGATTACCATATTTTTCTTTTCATCCATAAAAAAAATCATTAAAACTATGCAATGGATTTTGAAGCTGTTTTTTTTTATTAGATAGAGTGATTCAAGAGAAAGGTTTATATGTATAATACATACATGATATAGTAGAGAAACATTAATAATTTTAATGGTTTCTAATGTGATGTGATGTAATATGCACCCGATCGAAGCCGGGGCGGGTCGCTAGTTTATAATAAATAAATCACTTAGATTATAATGAATCATCATCATCATATCACGTTTTTACCCAATGGTTAGCTGGTAGAGAATGCCATATGGCATTAAGCTCGCTATCTGTACAAAATTTTATTATGCAATAAAGAATAAATAAATAAATAAATAATAAATATCAGCCATTATCTGTCCACTGCTGAATGTAAGCCTTTCCCATAGACTGTTTTTTTTAATGAATGACAATGGAATGGTTACTGCGCTAACGGTATACACTGGCGGAGCATCAATGAGAGATGATAGGTGAGGATAAAACGGCTAGTCAGTTAGCCCATCCTGATGAATACACCTGGAATTCAGCACGATGGTTTCCAGGAGGAACCACGTGGAGGTCGACCTGACAGGGTATATTGCTAGCAATAGGACTGGTTCGCATTACTAACAATCCCTTCCCCCCATAGATTTTCATAAGGAACGGTTTTGATCCATCTCTTTCACCATTCTCTTGGCGGAGGAAAATAATCGGTTCGCGCAAGCAAAGTCGCGGTCAACAACTAGTTGTTCAAAAACTATTGTCTGCAACTAATATCCGTCTGGTATCTATGTATTAAAATGAAACAGCCAAGTTTTCAGTGTTCCGCGAAAGAAAAACATTAGGGACATTATCAGAATACTTACGTTAGGAGATTATTCATTGCGATAAGATAAAGCCGCCTACGATGTAAAACTTCGGTTGGACGGCAATCGTTAAGAGGCCCGCCACGCTAGGGATTGCAATGTGACTATTTAAACAGTGATAATGTAATAATATACAGCTCGTGTTACACGCTGATAACGTACTCTTCAGCTTTTTATACGTGAACGAATTTTTACAATTGTTTAAGTATTTTTTTTTGAGTTATTTTTATTTATTTTTTATTTTTCAATGAATAAAAAAAAATCTTTCCTGTTTGTATTATTATGATAATATATGTATAATAATAAGTATATAATTTTGTAAAAATTATGAATAAAATACATTTTTTTTTATACAACTTAGAATAGCAAACAAGTTGACTGAAAGCCCACCTGATGGAAAGTGGTAACCGTCGCCTATAGACATGAGCAGTACCATGGACATAACAGAGTATACTGTTTCGCCCATGATACCACCCATGCGTTGCCATTCCTGAGGACTCAGGTGTTATTCCTCTGTGCCCAGTAAATGCACGCCATATCCCACCCTTCAAACCGAAACGCAGCCATGCAAACACAACTGTTTCACGGTTGAAACACGAATGGGACAGAGGTACCCAAGCAATAGACTTTTGTACAAAGTCTCCCTCTGGTAAATATTGTATATGAGTAGCTATGTAGTTATAATGCCGACTTTTGTGGGCTATTATTATTATATTTTGTATTTATCGGAGTAGGCAGACGAATAATGTACTTACGGTATTTATATTTATTATCTTTGCCCATTTTAATTATAATATTTGTTTTACTCGTATAATATTATTATATATTTATAGTTTTATTCCAGAAGAGTCATAGGTGTTTATGAGTCATTTTCATGTTGTCAGTTTTATGGAATCCATGTACCCACCCAATCTCCAGAATGACATCTTGCAAGAATGACGTTTACGTACAGGATAATATTTCTGTTTCATTATTTTTTAATTTAGAAAAATATACACAGTTTATTTAATACAGTGCACTTTGAATAGGTCGAGGGTATATTTGACTATAATAGTGATTAGATCACCATTATATTTTATCTTGTATTCATCTAATAACCGACTCTACATATGATAAAAAAACCTTATGTCCTTAAACCCTTAAATATCCTATCTAAATTACCCTTCCTAATTTAAAACTATCGTCTTAACAAATATAATATTATCTTATATTTATACACTACTCACAATTTTGACATATTTTCAACCGACTTCAAAAAAGGAGGATGTTCTCCATTTGATTGTATTTTTATGAATAACTCCGTCATTTATAAATTGATTTCAAAGGTTCTTTTTTTATATCAAGGAATAAGTTTTCAGATTTATCCCATAGAAGTTTTATCAAAATCCGTTCAGCAGTTTTTAAATCAATAACTGGTTTTACCATAACTGAAGTCGACTTTTTTGTGCAACATGATCTTAGAAAGAAAGAAAGAAAGAAAAGAAAGAAAACATTTATTGACAACAACAAAAAGTTA